ACAGATCAAAAAAAATAAAAGTCGCCGGGCGGTGGTGGCGCACGCCTTTAATCCCAGCACTCGGGAGGCAGAGGCAGGCGGATCTCTGTGAGTTTGAAGCCAGCCTGGTCTACAAAGCGAGTTCCAGGACAGCCTCCAAAACAATACAGAGAAACCCTGTCTCGAAAAACCAAAAAAAAAAAAAAAAAAAAAAAAAAAAAAGTCATTGGTAGCATGCCTTGGAAGACTTAGCACAGGCCAGCATGAATTGACGATGCATGTGGGCAGATTCAGGCCAGAAGGATAAGTGTACAGCTTCTAGGGGAAGCCACAGAGACTGGGGGAGGGGACAGGACAGCAGCCGGAGTGAAACGTTGGGGTCTGACTTCCTTCTGTTGGTTTCCTCTGCATGGTGAACTGAAGGGAACAGGAGAGGATGGGGCTGGCTGGTGGCAGCTCACTCCTGAAGAAGACACGTGTAGCCAGGCACAGTGCTGGGGGGACCCTGCCCTTACTGTTTCTCCTACACGCACACTGGAGCTAGTGGGATACAGTGCAAGACAGTTGTGCCATGACTGCTCTCTTTTTTAGCTACATTTCTGTGCTGACTGGTTTTATGCCAATGAGACACAAGCTGGAGTCATTTGGGAAGAGAGAATTTCAGCTGAGGAAAAAAGCCATCCTGGTCTAAGGGCAAGCCTGTTGTGCACTTGCTTGATTAGTGGTTGTTGTGGGCCGTACCACCTCTGCATTGGTGGTCCTTGGTGCTATAAGAAAGCAGGCTGAGGTGGGGGGAGGGGGAGTGGAGGGGATGAGAGGAGGGAGGGGGAACTGGGATTGGAATGTAAAAAAATTAATTAATTTTAAAAATTAAAAAAAAAGAAAGCAGGTTGAGCAAGCCATGAGGAGCAAGCCAGTGAGCAGCTCCCCTCCGTGATATGATCTGAGATCTAGGATCTGGAATAAACCATTTCCTTCCCAAGCAGCCTTTTGTCATGGTGTTTTATCACCGCAATAGAAACCCTAACTAACATAATTTGATGTGTAAGGGTGGGTGCTGAATTATCTGAAAAATAATTTCAAGTTTCCACTTATTGTCACTAGAATTGTTTTGCCTCAGAAATCAACTGGACACACCTTCGACCCTGTCCTTGCTTCCTAGGTCCCTCTTCCTGCCTGAGCTCCAGACAGAGTCTAGATTGAGTCCCTGAGTAAAAATCTCCTAGGCTACTAACATTCATGCTATCAAAGGCAAGTAACAACAACACCAAAAAAAAAAAAAAAATCAATCGTGAAGCAGTACTCCCATTAAATATTCATTGTTTGCTGTACTTGGTTTTCTCAACTCAGGGCATACTTTCGTTTTAACTTCTTTCTTTCTTTCTTCCTTCCTTCCTTCCTTCCTTCCTTCCTTCCTTCCTTCCTTTTTCAACTCCAGATAGAGTCTCTCTCTGCAACAGCTGTTCTGGTCTCATACTCACAGAGATCTGCCTGCCTCTGCTGGGATTAAAGGCCACCACCACTTGCCAGCTCATTTTAATTTCTAACAGCAAATAATTTTGAAATGAATATGGTCCTAAAAATTGAATTTCACGGGCTAGAGAGTGGTTAAGAGTACTGCCTGCTTGGGCTGAAGAGATGGCTCAGCATTTAAGAGCACTGACTGTTCTTCCAAGAGGTCCTGAGTTCAATTCCCACCAACCACATGGTGGCTCAAAACCATCTTGAATGAGGTCTGGTGCCTTCTGCTGGCATGCAGGCAGAAGACTGTATACACAATAAATAAATTTTTTAAAAAAGAAGCTGTGCTTCTCTCTGCTCTTTAAAAAAAAAAAAGAGTACTGCCTGCTCTTCCAGAGGACCCGGGTTCAATTCTCAGAACCCACATGGCAGCTCACACTGTCAGTAATTCTAGTTCCAGGGGACCTGACACCCATGAGAAAACACCAATGCACATAAAATAAAAATAGATAAAATTTTAAAAATTAAATTTCACGCAAACCAATCTTTGTTGAGAATCCCCTGTCCCGTTCCGTCGTCCCCCCCCCCCATGCACACAAAATGGGCTAAAATGGCTTGATTCCTATCATCTAGCCCAAACCAGCCTTTGTTGTGCTTGCAAAACCACTAAGGAAGATGGCCAGAGCTGAACTGGAGTCCCAGCACAAGCAGAGGGTAAAAGATCAGGCAGGGACCTCCCGTGTCAGCAGGGGCCCTCAGGACGTCCTGCTAATAAAAGACTTTTTCACTGTCCACACTATAATTGGTTTACAGCCTTTTTTGTTTATTTATCCATAAGAGCTGCTGTTAAATGGCTCGGGAAGGCTCTTGCCTAATGGCTGGGTATCTCTGAGGCCTGCGGGAGGCGGAGGGGGCACAGGGGGCCAGGGATGCAGAGCGGAAACGCGTTTCACCTGTAATGGACTCGGCCACTCTGGGAACCAGAGAGGCAGAGAAACGCTGAGTGATCTAGCTTGCTGGCTCGCTGGAGGTTCTCCTGCATGCAACTATTAACCAGTCAAAAACTTTCCGGGTGATTTTGGCCTGCCTAAGAATCATACCAAATGGCTATTGGATCTGTGTTTCTTTGGTCCCCTTTTAAGGAAGGAGAAGGCAGAAAACACTAATTGTGAAATCAAGAATGTGCCACAAACACACACGGGCGGGGAAGGGGGAGGGATCCTTCCCTCATGTTTTTGCTCAGCCTGGGGGAATTATTTTTTTGTTTGACTTTGTTTTCTGCCTAGAGACACTTTCCTTTTTTTGCAAGGCCCAGCAAAAAATATTAAATGGGAACAAACGAAGCATCAAGATGGAAGCCAATTTACCGAAATGCATGCAATTAGACCAGAAGTGCTAAGTAAACACTCTGGGGGTGACCGGTGACGCTGAGGGGAGGAAGGGGCAGGGAGAGAACAGCCACGATCCAGCTCCAGGGGTGCCCCGGTGAGGGGAGGAACCGTGAGGGAAGGTGCCTATCTTTGTCCCAAGCTCGCTCATAACCGCGTCACCAAGTCAACCTGCACGGCCACTCGGGAGATTATCTTCGAGGGTCAACACCCTGCGGCCGCGCCGCCCCCACTGGCCCTGTCCTTCCGATCGATGTGGCCACTCGCGGTCAAGGAGATAGCGTGGAGTCCCGGGCAGCCACCCTGAACAATGGACTCATTGAGGCGGGCCTGTAGAGATTAGGTGCGCAGGTGCCCGCCTTTCACGCCCAGGCCCCCCGATGGCCACAGGTGGCCCTTTTCCCTGAAGAACGCAGAGACACTCTCCCTTCTGGCCTGGCTTCTCTCAGTGAGAACCCGAGCAGGAGCCCGGCTCTATAGATGGTCCAGGCTCCTCGCACATCAACACTGGGCAAATCGAATCCTAGGAGGGGAAGAAATGTCAGAGTACAAAACCTCCATAATTTTTGTTTGCCTTTAATAAACTGTTGTTCAGAGTAGCCCACTCCATCTGAATGCATTTAAAACACATTTCCCTACTAGGAGAAAAATATTAAAATGTTGCAAAGGTCTAAATGTGAGTGTATAATTTGGTTGAGTGGGCTGCAGAGATTAATTCCTCTTGGTTGCAGGCGCCTCCTCTCCTACCTTCTTTCACAGAGACTCTCTGCAAAGATGCAAAGAGGACCAGGTTTCCTAAAACCTCCCCATGTCCTTGGAGGACCAGTTCAAGGAACTCAGTGAATCAGCAACCTCTAATGTCCACTCCAGAGAATGAACACCATGGCCACTGGGTCCTTGCCAACAGGGACACACACACACACACACACACACACACACACACACACACACACACACACACACACACACAGTGACTCTGTTAAGGGCATGTACCCCAGAGTTCTCAGAGTATCTGACAAGTGGAAACCAGGCTTAAGCATCCTTGAACAACAGTGGTGTTTTTGTTTGTTTGTTTATTTTTTGTGGGGGGGGGTGAGACAGGGTTTCTCTGTAGCTTTGAAGGTTGTCCTGGAACTCACTCTGTAGACCAGGCAGGCCTCAAACTCACAGAGATCTGCCTGCCTCTGCCTCCAGAATGCTGGGATTAAAGATGTGTGCTACCTACACCCGGCTGAACAACAGTGTTTTAATTTTAATTTTTAGGCACCCCAATCCTCTCCTTGCCCGGCTGCCCTGTTTCAACAACACACAAAATGGGTTTTCTTCTGCAGGTAGATTCCACTAAGGACTCCAAGACAGAAGTCAGGGACCTGAAAAACCTGTGGCAACCCCTGTTTCTACCTCCCAACAACAAAGAGGATACTTTCCTTTGCCTTCAGCACATTTGGGGATGCAATTACATATGAAAATAAAACAAATAAGGAGACAGTTTCAGCAATAAAACAAAACCAACAGCTTCTGGCTTATAGAGCTGGGTTCTGCAAACATTTCTTTAAAACTGTATTATTCAACAGTTGAGATGTACAACCTTAAAGGTTTTGCAAATCCTGTTACTGAGCTGATATTTACATATATTGTTAAAAATATAAGAAAACTAAAAGCTGGGTGTGGTACCTTACACCTGTAATCCCAGAACTGAGGAGGATGAAGATTGCTGAATTTTGAGGCAATCTTGAGTTTTGAGTTGCAGACCAGCTAGGGCTACAAAAATTAGACTTTGTCTCAAACAAAACAAAACAAACAAAATAAATCAAAACAAACAAACAAAATCCCGGGGAAAGGATATAAACATTTAAAGAAAGCACGATAGTGGCGGTTCTGTAAAAGAATGAACTCTCTAGTACTTTTGCGAGCCCGGCTTTGGTGACCTCCCTGCCTGCTGCAGACAGAGGAGGGGGTTCAGCCGACTCGGGAGAGAAAATTGAAACAGATGCAGGTGTTCGCGGGCACCTGGGCCTCCTTCTTAAGGCAGTCCTCCAGGCCAATAATGGCTCCAGGCTGAGCCACGTGGGGTGCCTCAGAGCCTATGGCACGGCGGCCGGTTTGTCTGTCCCCCGCCAGCCCTTGCTTCCCCCGGAGAGCAGTGAAGAACTGTCAAAGCGATCTGGGGTGGCGTTGGGAGTCCGTGAGCAGCGCCAAGGCCTGACTTGCAGTTTCCTACCCGGGGCTACTGTCCCTCCCAAGTGCCCGCTGCCACCATGAACGGTGAGGAGCAGTACTATGCGGCCACACAGCTCTACAAGGATCCTTGCGCATTCCAGAGGGGCCCGGTGCCAGAATTCAGCGCTAACCCCCCTGCGTGCCTGTACATGGGCCGCCAGCCCCCACCTCCGCCGCCACCCCAGTTCGCAGGAGCATTGGGGACACTGGAGCAGGGAAGTCCCCCGGACATCTCCCCGTACGAAGTGCCCCCGCTCGCCGAAGACCCTGCGGTGGCGCACCTCCACCACCACCTCCCTGCTCAACTCGGGCTCGCCCACCCGCCCTCCGGGCCTTTCCCGAATGGAACAGAGCCTGGGGGCCTGGAAGAGCCCAGCCGCGGTCAGCTCCCTTTCCCGTGGATGAAATCCACCAAAGCTCATGCGTGGAAAGGCCAGTGGGCAGGTAAGCCTGGCTTTCTCCCTTTCTCTTTTCCTAGTGTAGACTCAGCTCCCCTCCAACACGCTGGGATAAAGCAGGCTTAGCATAAACTCCCCGGAGTCATCTTGGAAGCCTCTTCTCCACTAGCACTCTCCCTTCCTTGCGGATGTCCTAAGCCCTTCTTAACCAGGGAGCCGGCTCCCACGCGCCCGAGAAAGCCGAGGCCTATCAGGCTCAGAGCTTTTGAACTCTCTGGATCCTTCTGCAGCGAGAGATCTGGAATCCCAAGACTCCCAGGTAGTGGACATCAAGTTGCCTCACCTAGGCTGTAACTCTTTCAGAGCCTTGGGCACCTTCAGTTCCCGGCCCTGTCCTAATGGCTTTATTAAAGAAAATGGGCCTCCTAGGGCACCGAGTGGAAACAGAAAAGCAGGAAGGGAAAGGAGAATCACATCGATCCAGGCCTGCCAAGGGTCCGGAGGCCCTAGGGTAGGGAAGGGGATGGGAGCGAACAGGGAGAGACTGGGGCAAAGTGAGGGGCTCACCGAAAGGCGACTCCCAAGCGTGGCAGCTGGGAGAGGCGTCTGGGATACCAATTCTTTTTGGACCAACCAAAGGGTGTTTTGAAGGGTCTTCTCGTGCTGTGTCCCAGTAAGAAAATATGCAGAAGGATGGGCCTCTTTCCTGCAGTCCATCCCAGTGAAGCAAGACCCCGGCTTTCCTTAGCTCTGGGAGCCGCCTGCTTTGTGTTAAGTCGGTCCTGGCAGCGGGTAGGCGAAGCAGAACAAGCCCTAGGTCCCTTTCCCTCCGGATGCTGGCAGCGAATTTGCGCGGGGCCTGTGCCCGCCGCTGCACAATGTTATCTCTTCCGGGCTGCAGTCACTTCTGGTCACACCTGTACTGCAAATAGCTGTTTTTGCTTTTGCCTTCCGACTGACTGTCAGGAACCAGGGGTTAAGCTGGAGTTGGCATCCCCTGAGAATTCTCAACGTCATGTCTTCAGGGGCTGTCTAAGGAGCCTGACACTGCACCAGGAGCAACCAAGCAATGCTCTTGAGAGGGCCTGGGATAGCCAGGCTCACCAAGGTCCCAGGGGCACCTCTCACCAATTCATTTTCTCGCCAAGGCAACAATCCTGACTTAAACCAGGTCCTAAACTCTTGCTGAGGGCGTCAGTCCCTCGTTCCAAGCAGGAGGTAGATGCTGCAGGGGTGTCTCAAGGCCAAAGGTCGTTGAGACCCAGTTTTTTGGACTAACGAAAGACTTCCCCTCCGCCCAGCGGGCTCTCAGTCTATAGTTTCTTCTCAAGGATCCCATCTTTCCGGGCTTTCTCGCGCAGAGCCCTGGAGACTCTTCCTGGCTATCTGCTCCGCGCTGGACTAGGGCTGAAAGAAAAGAAACCATAGAGTAAATTCTGAGGGAAAGCCCACAACTTTTCCTGTGTTTGGAGAACACTTTGAAGACACCTTCGGAGTACAGAATTCGGGAGCTGGAAGCCTCTGCGGGTCCCTTCTGACCCTCTCTGCATGTCTGACTCTCTTCTCTGGGTGGAGGCCTGCAAGGGAGCTCCAGCCGCCTCCACTTTGGAAGAACTTCAAAGTATAGCAGAACTTCAAAGTATAGCAAGCCCTCTTGCGCGTGCTTAGTGGGGTTTCACAACCCTTGCAAAAGGTACAAAGAGCTAAAGGTTCACAGAAGAAATGCGAATACTAATGGCGACAGGCACTTGAAAATAATTGAAGCTAAATGAACTTCATCACTGGCCGGTCTACTCCGAGTCCCAGAAAAGATAGACCGGGGAACTCTGAACATTTTCTCGTCAGCAGATTCCAACTTTAACTCCCATCCTCGGCTTTCTCTAGCAGGTCACAGATCCACATAGCTTTTCACTAGGACTTGGCAAAGAGGGCAGCTGAGGGCAGGAGTTGGAAGAACCTGTGAGTTACATTTATGAAACCATGGTTGACCTTTTTAAATGCTTCATTCTGTGTAAGTCTCTTCTCTCTCTTTCGGGAAAGGTTTGTTCCTGGAGAGAAGAGCCGCTTTCCAAAGAGTGGTTTAGGAGTCTCACCGCAGCTTCTGGTGCCTCCTCTTGGTCTGGAGAAAAACCCAGGAGCAGATTTCATATAGGAAATTAATCCTTGCCCTTATCACACTCATGCCTCTTGTCTCTGTCGAGAATCAAGTCGGCCTCGGCCTCTTCCTCCAGCTTTGGTTGAGAGCCCTAAACCAGTGTCCACAGTCCGGCATTTAGGTTCTCTGTACAGACAGAGAAGATCCAGACCTGCAGAACGCTCCCTGTGTGGCATTGATTGCCTGGCAACTTGGGTTTGTTGCTTGCTTTAGACGAGGTTTGGAGCTGGAACTGGCAAGTCCCTTGGTGCTATCCTTTCTCTAGAATAGCTCTCAATTCAGCTCGGACCTGGCCTCTGCCAATATTGATGCCACAACGCAGAGTGAGGAGTTAACTGTCTCCTGCTAAGTGTGTCCGTCCCCAAAATGCTATTTCTTCTCAGAGGCAGGGCACTAACTGAAATTAAAGTAACGATCACCTCTCAAGTTGGGGCTAATTGCAATGTAACTATACTTTTAAAAAATATATGGGTCCAGGTTGATGGCTCAGTATGTAAAGAAACTTTCCTTTTGTCAGCCTTAAGAAGACCTTCGTTGGATCCATGGAACCTAAGATTTAAAAGAAGAACCAACTCCCAAAAGTTGTCCTCACACCACCATGCATGTTGCAGCATATGTATACCCTACACACAAAATAATAAATATTTAAATAAATAATAATAGATGTTAAAAGATATAACAAAATGTACCCATAACTTGACAGGCAACATGATCTTTTCAGACTTCAACCTGCATCCATTAGTAAGTCATTAAATTCATTTTAAAAATATTGTTTGAGACAGGATCTCATTACATTGCTGTTGCTGGCCTGGGACTAGTTATGGAGACCAGACTGGCCTCCATTTGCCTGTTCTTCCTCTGCCTCCTGTGTGCTGGAATTAAAGATTGTGTCAAGCTGCTGATCTTGTTAAAAATAGTTTAACGTTGTTTTAATGAAACAGTGAATAAAGAGGAAAATTAGCATTATATGTGGTAAAAGTTTAGTCTAGAAACGTTTATCGTTTCTATAGATCCCTATAAAGACGGGATAGTAATTCGAACCCTATTTCATACGGTCAGACAGTACTGGGTCGATGTCTGAAAGTTTGTTTAAAATCCTGTGTTTAAGGCATGTCATTGCCTTAGTATCTATTGTGTGCATTTTAACCATTTTAACATCCGTTAAATGAACTCATTTTGAAACGTCTGGTTGGCAAACCCAAGCGTGGTATCGAGGTGAGAGCCCGAAGGGCTGTGGTAGGGTTGCCACACTGGGCTCTGGAGCAAAGGGGCTGTGGTTGGACTGACCCGTCACGATCAGAAGGATGGCTGTCCTTGGGCTGGGGATGAAATATTTGGGCTACACTGGGCCTTGGGGACCGCACTGACCAACTGTGTCTCCCACAGGCGGCGCATACGCAGTGGAACCGGAGGAGAACAAGCGGACCCGTACAGCCTACACGCGGGCGCAGCTGCTGGAGCTGGAGAAGGAATTCTTATTTAACAAATACATATCCCGACCTCGCAGGGTGGAGCTGGCAGTGATGCTGAACCTGACCGAGAGACACATCAAGATCTGGTTCCAAAACCGTCGCATGAAGTGGAAGAAGGAGGAGGATAAAAAGCGAAGTAGCGGGACCGCGAGTGGGGGAGTTGGGGGCGAGGAGCCAGAACAGGATAGTGCGGTGACCTCTGGCGAGGAGCTGCTGGCCCTGCCGCCGCCACCACCTCCCGGTGGTGCTGTGCCCCCAGGCGTCCCCGCTGCAGCCAGGGAGGGCCGCCTGCCTCCGGGCCTTAGTGCGTCACCACAGCCCTCCAGCATCGCGCCTCGGCGACCGCAAGAACCTCGGTGAGGACGGCAGGCTGAAGGTGACTTCCATGCGCGTGGGCAGCTAGATAGGGAGGGAATGATGAAACTTAACCTTGATGCCACGCAAGAAAATCTTGAGGGCACATGCCAGTTGGGTACGGCCGGAGAGATGCTGGCAGACTTGGGGGGGAGGGGAAAAAGAGGCCTTGGCTTCGGAAACCTTTTGAGGTGGCGCCTCTGTTGGGCACGTCTCTCCCTGCCTCCAAGACTCTTTCCTTGGTCAAATAAGGAGAACTGGACTCCACAGGGACGAAAAGGGTACAAACTTGAGCATTCGCCGATGTCCAGCGGGCAAGCCGGTCTGGGTGCCTTTGTCTGCCCAGAAACAACGGCTGGGTCGACCATTTTAAGGTTAGGAATCATGAAAATGAACTGCTAGAGGTTTCAAAGTTGCGGGGACGCGTGTGCTTCTTCCTGCCGGCCCTTCCTCTTCGCCTGCTCCCTCCTTTCCTACTTCCCCTCCCCTAGATTCTTCCCCTCTTTAGTAAAATATTTCATTACATCCATCCTTCAGCCTGCACCCTTTCCTTTGAAGAGCAGAAACTCTTCCCGTTTGAGGTTTCTATTTAGAGTTCAGATACCTTCCCAGAAGGAAGCCGGGTGCCCCGGTACACCTTGGAAAACTACTCACAGAGCCCTGCCGTGGTTTCCAGTATTTTGAAGGTTTCGGGAACACGGTTGTGTTCATTTAAAGCTTCAAAATTAGCTGTTCTTTGCTGACAGGACTGCAGTTTCCAAGTCAGTCCGTTGCTCCTTTCAAGGTCTGAACCTTATGTTTAGGTCGTTTGTGGGAAATGCTTAATAAATATGAAATATCATGAGAGGTAATAAAGACACTCTCCTGACCTTATTCCAAACCTCTCCAAAGGATGTTTCCATCTCCCTTTAATTTTAACTAGCGTTTTTCCATTAAGAATTATCCCGCTTCAAACTGGGTGGGTGGTGACAGCTGATGCAAGGGCGGCAGCAGCACTTTTAATTCCAGCACTTAGGAGGCAGAGACAGGTGCATCTCTGAGTTCGAGGCCAACCTGGTCGACAGTTCCAGGATTACACTAAGAAACTCTGTCTCAAAAAAATAAGTAAAACAAAACAAAACAAAACAGGTTTTCTGGAGAAAGTGTTTGGTTTTGGTTTCGTTTGTTTGTTATTTGAATCAGTGAGTGAGTGAGTGAGTCTCCACCCTCAGAGACCCAGGGCCAGGATTGATTTAGTTGGCAGCCAACTCCAGAATCACTTTAGTCCTGCCTCTTGAGCACCCCACAGTGTTAGCCTAAGACTCTGGAATTGCTGCTCTTCTATTACACACAGAGAGACTATAGGCAGTTTTAGTTTTTACTTGTTTAGTTTAATAATTTGCCCTGTTTCTTAAAGAGTCGCAACTTGGTCGAAAGAAACTCTCCTAAATCAGAAAGGAGGGTTTTTCTCTTCAGAGTGAACGTGCCCTCTCCAGGTGGACGCTGCACACGACTTGGGCTCTGAAGTGTGACACATCTACATTGGAGATGTAGAAAAATGATTTGAGCCGGGCATTGGTGGTGCACGCCTTTAATCTCAGCACTGGGGAGGCAAAGATAGATGGATCTCTGTGAGTTTGAGGCCAGCCTGGTCTACTGAGCGAGTTCCAGGACAACCAGGGCTACACAGAGAAACCCTGTCTCAGAAAGAAGGAAAGGAGGGAGGGAGGGAAGGAAGAAGAAAGGGGGGAAGGGAGGGAGGGAGGGAGGGAGGGAGGGAGGGAGGGAGGAAGGGTGGAAGGGTGGATGGAAGGGAGAGAAAGAAGGAAATGAAAAAGGAAAGAAGGAAGGAAGAATGACTTAAGATCTTCTCCCACTTTAATGCAATGGCAAAATTTTGTGCTACCTTATAGGGTTGCTGTAGGGTTTTAAATAAAGACTATCAATGGGTTTAGTTTAATATCTAGAAGAGTCATCCATCCACAATTATTAGCTACTGTTTTGTGACTATTCATGACCAGTTTCCTTAGTAACTAGACCCTGGTCACCATCCTCTCCCAGTCTCCACGGGTTCCTGAGAGGCCTCCCGTTTGGCAGTCCCCCACCCTGTTGATGGGATTTTCATGTCCCCACTGATCTTAGGTGAGTTCTTCTAGTTTTACAAAACTCCTTTGTTGCCACAGCAACCTCCTCCAGGTAATTCTTCTCAGAATGCTTCTGTAAGGTTGGTGGAGACTGAGACCGGTCCTTTTGCCTCCAGAAGTTTGGGTTCCAGAGTAAACCAGTCTGCTCTGAGAGTCGAGAATCTCAGCCTCACTCTGGGCATTAACTACTAGGTTACAGCTTCCATACTACACCGGGCTCTGGGACACATCCAGGGGGAAAAGGTGCAGGCAGGCTGGAGCTTGGAGTTTGGGGCAAGGCTGACTGGTGGAGGCTGTGACCTTTAGATCAGCCAGGAGAGCGATCACCACTTTCTGCTTGTGAGCATGAGGGCCGAGGTCTGGTAGGCAGACCTGGGGCACCTGCGGCATGGTCTGTGCTCAGAACACTCTAAAAATAAAACAATCTGTTCCCCTGACCTTGTATCTTCCATCTCCTTACCTACATGCAGTCTTGATTGAGTCACGTAATTCTATTCTGTCGTGTATTGGGGGCCCATAATGAAGATGAAAGGAGGTCTAGCAAATATCCTTCAGTACATGTGGTGTAGGAGGCAGGTGCTGTCCCTCAGTTTCCAGTAGAAGCCTCCCTTCCTGGGACAGTCCTCAAGAAAGTGAGAGAGAACAAGGCTCTTCAGGGAATATCAAACTGGGCTGTGTGGGGGCAGTGGTGGGTATGGGGAGGGCTTCATTGGCATACCTTGGGTAGGAGGATGAGATTCAGCCACAGAAGTGAGAGCAGAATACAGGTCTCCACCTATATACCAGAGCTGACTTGGGGGTGGAGGCAGGAAGGGACACACATTGTGGCCCTTGAGGATGGACTATAGGCACTGGGAGCTCCAAGCTCAAGCCAGTGAATAAGCCTGGGTTTCCAAGTGGGTGTGGCTTTAAGGATGAGAAAATAGGCAGAGGGTGGGGGTGAGGGGACTGCAGACCTCCCTCTGCTCCCGGGGGTGTTTTATGTGCTCATCCTGTAGGGAACAGACAAGGGTGACTTTGGAAAGTGTTAGGGGAGGGTATGTGAGCACTGTACATGCATGTCTGCCTACACCTCCATGCCCCACTTCTTTTCCTGGGGATGCCCTGGGCAGAATCCACATGTCCTGCCATTCCTCTGGAATTCATCAAGTAAAGAGAGAGGCCATGCTGGATCACAGATGTGTGGATCAGTCCTGAGCCACACTGCTGTGGTCAAAGCAGTAGAGCCCTGGAGAACACCACCAGCTTCCTCAAAGCACACCCTTGCCTGGAAACCTCTGGAAACAGGTAACCTGAACCAGAGAGCCTGAGCTGAGGGACTTCTGTGGGTTTTTCCAAGTCCTGTGAATCCCCAGCCCAAGACCAGAATGAAGGAAGCAGCTTGGTGATAAAACTAGTACAACACATAGGAAACAAACAGAGCCTTTGCATTTCTTCATCTACACCGTTTCCTGTGTCTTTGCTCTCAGATGCTCAGATAGTTCACCTCAGCCAGATTCATACTACACAGTAGCAAGAACTCAGTTATGTGGTACTCTCGGAACACGCTAACTGTAAGGCGTGTACCTGTGCTCAGGAACTCTGATCTAAAGGTAGCAGCAATTATCAGGATCTTGTCCTAAGCTGGAGTCCCTACTGTGTTTGCCCTAACATTCAACGAAGTCCTGGAGATTATCTGTGAATTTCCCAGAGTGAATAGAAGTTAATCAGGCTCCTGAACTGGTAATGACACCTCCACATCCTCTCCTCCAGTTAACCCAGCCCTGGTGTCTAATAAACTATAAGTGCTGCTCTTTCATGTTAATGAAGTCTACCTATTGCATGTCTATAAAAATATTAATATTATTTTACTTTCTATGTATGGATGGTTTGCCTGCATGTATATGTGTGTACTGTGCCTGGTACCTGTGGAGGCCAGAAGAGGGCGTCATATTCACTGGAACTAGAATGACAGATGGTTGTGAGCCACCATGTGGGTACTGAGAATCAAACCCAGTTCCTCTGGAAGAGCTGCCTATGTCCTTAACCACAGCCATCTAACTACCTATTCTAGTTCTACCATACACATCCCTTATCAGTCTCCCTCTGTGAGTTTGCACCTCTTTGTATATCCATGTTTGTATGGTTGATGTCTAAGGGTGAGTCCAACTTGTGTGTCTGGATATGCCTGCATAGCCCATATGATGTGTTTATGTTCATATGTCTACTATGTGTCAGGTAGGTTGCCATAGTCACAATGGCCAGATGGCACTAAACACCTGGGCTGCTTTCCTGTGTACCTTTCCTTTTTTCTTCCTTCTTTCTTCTTATTTATTTATTTGTTTATTTATTTATTTTTACAGACAAGGTCTCACTATGTGATCCTAGCTTAACTGGAACTCCATTTGCAGACCATATTGGTCTTTGACTAACAGAGATCAATCAGCCTCTTCCCCACCCCCCAGTGTTGGGATTAAAGGTGTGCACCACCATGCCTGGCCCTTCCTCCCTCCCCTCCTCCCTCCCCTCCTCCCTCCCTCCCTCCCTCCCTTCCTTCCTTTCTTCTTTCCCTTTTTTCCTTCTTTTTCCTTCTCTGTGTTTTAGAGGTGAAACAAAGGGCTGCACTCACACTAGGCAAGTTTTCCACCATGGAACACAGCCAAGCCCATTGCAAGTTCTTTACACACGGTACCTTATAGTCAAGCCCATTATATGTTCTATACACATGGGGCCTCACTCTGATAAAAATTGTCCCTGTTCATTGTATCTTGAACAACAATGAAGGCTGGAGAAGCTGTCTATATTTTTCTATCATCTTCTACAAAAGTTTCAACCCCGTGTGTCACCAGAGTAACTTTCAAATCCTTTCGAGAAAATTTGAGGTCATGGCAAAAACCAGTCATGTCTTTAACAGGTTCTCATACAAGTGCCCTTGAAAACCGTATGACTGAGAGGGTCCAGAAAGGGCAGAGTTCTCAACTGACCCTGACTCAAGCTGTACTCAAGCCCACCTCTTGCAAGCTAGTGGGAAACCAAGGTAGGGCGCTAGGAAGCAGGAAGGTGTCCCTGCAAGAACTGTCAATAGCTGGAGACCTCTGGGAATTTATCTCTGTGGGTAGATTGGAAAGTGAAGAGGACAGCCAGATACAGCAGGAAAGGAAGGTTAAACTCTTCAAACAGTGGCTCCAAGTAACTGTTCCAGGGGAAAGAGGCTGGCCAACCTGATCTAGTTTTTGGACTTCCTCAGGATATCAGACTCAATGCCATTTCAAAGCTGTATTTGTTTATCAGTCGCTGGAAAGAGCGTTGTAAAACCTCATTCCAACCCTTTCAGGAAAATTACTTTCTCTGATGGGTATGTGTAGCTCACTAACAGAGCTCTTGCCTAGCATGCACATGGCCCTGGGTTCCACTTGTAAAATACAGA